AAGAAAACTTAATTGATACCTAGTTAACCTCGTGCAGCATGAATGGATTTTTTTTCTTTTCTTAGAAATACTCAAATACACTTGCATTGCATACTTTAGAAAACAGACTAAAGGATACTTGCATTTAACAAGTTCTCTGAGGAACAAAATTGTACAGTATCCATGTTATTCATGTTACATGAAATATTGAGTTATATTTCAGTTTAACCTATCTCTTAGAAGAAAAACAGCACAATTAAAATAATTGATTCTCTAATCTTTAGTTCTATCTCCACAAATAAAACCTATCACTTTTCACACTAAAAACAACATAATATACAATCAAAAGAAACTAATCTGAGATTATTTATCCCTTTTGCCAAAAGATAACAGATTAAGTGGGGGAGTCAAACATAAAAAGAACAGGCATTGTTTATTTATTTATCATATAGCTCTGGGTCAGGTGATAATAAATAATAATGTGCAATCCATCAGTGTATACAATTCCATATCACATTTTCTCATACTTTATTTAAAAAATAGGTTTAATGTTTAAGGGGAAGATTACTGTGACACTGCTACTGAAAGACAATTTTGCTGTCATCATAGCTCAAGAAGTATTTACAGGAACCAACCATTTAAAAAACAGGTTTCTGTCCATTTCACAAAATGTGAGATTAGGCAATCCTAAATACACGTGAGAGTTTAGGGTATACCACCCTGAACACGCCCGATCTTGTCTAAATACACATGAGAAAAATAATTAAAACTTTTTTGTTCTCACTCATATTGCTCCCCAGCCAGAGTTCAGATTAAATAACTTTTGCAAAGCACTTCTATTTTAGCAACTTAATGTAAATAAGTTAGCAACCTTCATTTTTAAATAATTATAATATCACTTTTGAGACTGCAAGTTAAATTTTCATGTAAACAAATGAGTTAAATAACAAATTTTTGTATCTTGATAATTATGTGCCGTAATCAGTGAGTATAACCTGATGCTCTCTATTTTCAATTCAAGACAATTAGTCTACTGCAGTCATTTCCACATCCGAGTCACTTGATTCATTTTTTAGTTTCGATACCCCTAAATCTTTGTCTACGGTTGTAACTGTTTTTGTCTTGTACTTCTTGGGAAATGCATCATTAGCACAGAGTTTTCTCATTTTAATGTTAGCAATTTGTTGAGATCAAAATCCCATTCTCTAAACATTTTCAGATTACTCGCATTTATAGCGTCTGGAATCTCAAGGACATATCCTTCATACTGCTGTTGCTGGTGCTCTAGCATCTGCTTCATGACTGTCTCCGGGGAACAGTGCCACCTTTCCTGCCTATCTTTGATGCTGTTATGTAATTCAGTCTGCTCCAGCTCACTGTTGAATTGATTTAAATACCTTTCAATTAATTCACAAGCACCTTTGAATAGCCCACTTTCTGGGGATCAAGATGATTGTGAAACCACTGCAGTTTTGTACCAATAATGTTGAGAAGCAAGGCCTTTTCAGTCTTTTAACCTTTCCTTTTTATCTTGTTTGTGAGTCTTGTAATTTGAGCAGCTGCTTTTCTACTATATGGATGGGTGCCTTTTTTTTTCCCTTCCCACACTTTTTCCCTTTGGTGCTTTAGGTGAGTGGGTGTAAGGTGGAAGGAGGGGCCCAGCATGGTGATGGTCTCACGGCCTCGGAGGCCTTCTGCACTCTCCACCCAGACAGTTTCATCAAGCTAGTGGTGTTGGCTCACATGGGTGCTTCTGCCCACTCCTACCAGCACATGTGAGGAAACCAGTGTGGACCCAGCCAGAACAGACTGAACTATTTTAGGCCAAACTGCTTTTTTAATATGCTCCTCATGTCAGAGACTACTAGGCTGTACGGTTTTTTTTCTGGGAGCCACAGTGAGTGCTTTCTAGATTATATTGGAAAACCTGCTAATAACCTAATAATAAAGAGGTTTACCTTCTAGCGTTGACCCATTTAGGCTGAGGTGGTAGTGAAGGCCATCAGTCATCAAGTCAGGTGGAACAAGTCCCTGAAAAGTCATTGGTCTTCTCACAGCATATGACATGCTTTTAACACCTGTGCCAGGGTATAACTGTTTCTCTTAGAGTGGTTCACCAAAAGGATACCTATGTTGCTATCCACAATAATATATTTCAGTATAATCTACTGAAGATTGGTTTTTCTGCTTGTAGACATTCCATATCACTTCTAAGAAGAGTTTTAATTATGTGCTAAATATTGTGTTCAGTCAGCAGCAATATTTAAAAAATAAAACAAGCTAGAATATAGGGTTAGGGAACATTATAACTGGCAGGGGTCTTTTCACTTAGTGAATGATAACTGTGAACTAGAAAAGCTCCTCATGGGAGAGCCTGAGGAAGCGATGACCAACCTGTAAATAGGATATGAAACTACTTTGAAAGAAATGTGTAGGCTAATGCCAATTAATATTTTCTATTTTTCCCCTGGGTCAGTTAATGCTGAACTGTATAATTGCAGAATTTTTAGTTTCCCCTTTAGGACAAGAATTTCCTTCCTTTTCATGTTACTAGGGCTTAGTAAAAAATCTATAAATGAAAAAGTAAGCCGGGCTCGGTGGCTCAGCCTGTAATCTGCGCCTTTGGGAGGCTGAGGTGAGTGGATTGCCTGAGCCCACGGGTTCGAGACCCGCCTGGACAGCGAGACCTCATCTCTACAATAAATCAAAAAATCAGCCAGGTGTGGTAGCGCATGCCTGTACTTCCAGCTACTTGGATGGCTGAGGCGGAAGGATCACTGGAGCCCAGCAGGTCGTGGCTGCGGTGGCTGGGAGCGGCCACTGCACTCCAGTCTGGGCGACAGAGTGAGACTCCAACTCAAAAAAAAAAAAAGAAAAAGAAAAAGTAATGTACAATTCACACTGTTTAAGAAAACATAAACCGGGCTCGGTGGCTCAGCCTGTAATCCCGCGCCTTTGGGAGGCTGAGGTGAGTGGATTGCCTGAGCCCGCGGGTTCGAGACCTGCCTGGGCAGCGAGACCTCATCTCTACAATAAATTAAAAAATTAGCCGGGCGGTAGCGCATGCCTGTAATTTTGGCTACTTGGAAGGCTGAGGCAGAAGGATCACCAGAGCCCAGCAGGTCGAGGCTGCGGTGGCCGGGAGCGGCCACTGCACTCTAGTCTGGGTGACAGAGTGAGACTCCAACTCAAAAAAAAAAAAAGAAAAGAAAACATAGCTAACTGATCTGACTCCCATTTATTTCCTTATGACACTGTGAAAGTTGATTAAACAAATTGTTCTTTCTTGTCACACTAAACTAAATCAGAGTTGGGAAGCCAGGGTAAAAGCACTTGGGGCACATAGCACCTGCTTCAACAATTTAATTATCTACAAGCTCAGCTGCTGAAACAGCCTGCTATATAACCTTAAGAGTAGTTTTACCTACTAGCTGCTGAAACAACCTGCCAGGACTCTAAGACTAGTTTTACCTACCTCCATCATTAACTAACCAATTAACTTGTCAGCTTCAAAAAGCTTCTCTAGTGCCAATGAGCTTTCTTTCAAAACAATCAAAACAATGCATAACATCTTTCCTTCTAATAAAACTCCTAACCTTTTCCTTGTTCTTTGGACGTATTAAAGACCCACCCAGTCTATATGTATGCCCTGAATTTGATTTTCTTTTTTTTTTTTTTTTTTTTGAGTTGGAATCTCACTCTGTCACTCAGACTGGAGTGCAGTGGCTGCTCCTGGCCACTGCAGCCTCAACCTGCTGGGCTCCGGCAATCCTTCTGCCTCAGCCTTCCAAGTAGCTGGAACTACAGGCGCACGCTACCACGCCTGGCTAATTTTTTATTTATTGTAGAGATGAGGTCTCACCAAGTTGCCCAGGAGGGTCTCAAACCCTTGGGCTCAGGCAGTTCACTCACCTTGGCCTTCCAAAGTGCAGGATTACAGGCTGAGCCACCAAGCCGGGCCAATTTTTTTTTTTTTTAGACAGGGTTTCACTCTGTTGCCTAGGCTGGAATATAGTGGCCTGATCACAGCTGACCATAGCCTTGACCTCCTGGGTTCAAGTGATCCTGCATGGCCTCAGCCTCCTAAGTACCTAGGGCTATGGGCATGCACCACCACTAACAGCTTTTTTAAAAAATTTTTTTGTAAAACTGAGGTCTCACTTTGTTGCCCAGTCTGGTCTCAAACTCCCGGCCTCAAGTGATTTCCCTGTCTCAGCCTCGCAAAGTGCTAGGATTATAGATGTGAGCCGCCAAACCCAGCGAATTTTAATTTGTACTGCCAAATAAAATGTTAAACTTGGAGATTATTCTCTGTATTTTATTTTGAGTTCAACAGTACTTAACATCTTCCTGTTCATAATTTTTAAAATTCCCTAACAAAAACGGATAAAGAATAGAAAATGCTATAATGATTGAAAAGACTTCTTGGAAAATAGACTAAATGTTTCTAACTTTTAAAGTAATTGTCAAATTAGTGAGTTATTGAATTAGAATTTGTTATTTATTTATTTATTTTTTTGAGTTGGAGTCTCACTCTGTCGCTCAGACTGGAGTGCAGTGGCCGCTCCCGGTCACTGCAGACTCAACCTGCTGGGCTCCGGCGATCCTTCCACCTCAGCCTTCCAAGTAGCCAGAATTACAGGCATGCGCTACCACACCCGGCTGATTTTTTGATTTATTGTAGAGATGAGGTCTTGCTGCCCAGGCGGGTCTCGAACCCACAGGCTCAGGCAATTCACTCACCTCAACCTCCCAATGGCGCGGGATTACAGGCTGAGCCACCAAACCCGGCTAGAATTTGTTATTTTAAAATCAGCTTGAAAATTCTGGTTGGTCAAAATTTAAAAGTTTTATTTTGTAGAATTGGCATGACCTAAGTTTTCAAGGTGGTTTTTAAAAAACTTTGTTAATTATGTATGGATTTCATCATTTAAACTTAGAAACAAAATATAGGATAGTCTCATAGTAATTTTTTATTCCGGTCTTTTAAAATTCTACCTTTTTTCCTCCCTCATTTTTAGAATTGCTAATGCTACTCCCATCCCAGGAGACTTGCTTCGAGAAAATACAGATGAGGTGTTTCCAGATGAACAGCTTAGTGATGGAGAAAATGGCATCCCTGTTGGCGTATCACCAGATAAATTGCCTGGATCCCTGGGACATCCTCGTCCCCAGGAGAAGGATGTCTGGGAAGAGATGGATGTCAACAAGAATAAGATAAAGCTTGGAATCTGTAAGGTATGTATTTCCTGCATAGGGAGTAGTAACTTTCTGTGTACTTATTTTTTTACTCTTGTTGTTACAGCAAATTATCATGTTCTCAATTTTGAATGATAAGTGCACTGAACATTGTATTGCTAGTTATTTAAATATTTATAACTGCAGTATTTTGGCTACTTTGGTCCATAACATTCATATTGTGAACACCAGACATTAATCTTCATCTTGTATTTTGTGGAAAAGATTCAAGTATTTTTAAAAAAATTAACCAGATACTGAGACTAAAAGAAGAGACATATCTATAGAACAGAAGTTAATATTCTTTCCAAATAATGGGACAAGATTCTGGATCCTTTCTTTAATGTGAACCAGTGAAGTTATGAGCACCCATTCTAAATACTCTTAGATGGAGGTGAGAAAGTAAGTGTTGGAAGTGGAAAGCATCAAACTGAATGTGAGTGGACAAAGTGAATGTTGAATAAATGACATGATTTTTTCTTCATTAGAATTGCAAGGAAGTCCTCTTGCCAGTGGGGAGAAAGATAGATTTCTGACTTATATGGCTAATTTTTAGTTATCTTTACATAGAAGATAAAGTAAATATAATAGATTGAAGGGGCAATTAGTTTTGGTGCTGCTTAAGTGTTTTTATAAAGGCTTGATTGGGAAGGAGGTTAAATTTACAGATGTAATATGAGGCTTTGGCTTGTACCTCTTAACATAACTGATAGAAAGTTAGCTAGTCATGCTTTATGAATAGGAAATATATTCTGACAAGAAGCTTCTATGATCAATCCTGAGGAGCTTGGCCTATCTTTGGACAATTGTTAAACTATGTAATTTAAAAAATTAACTTAAGGATATTGTCTTAGTCCACTTGGGTTGTTATTTTTTTAAATACTATAAAATAGATACCTTAAAACCAATAGAAGCTGGGCTCGATGGCTCAGCCTTAAATCCCATGCTTTGGGAGGCTGAGGTGAGTGGATTGCCTTAGGCCATGGGTTTGAGACCCGCCTGGGCAACTTGGCGAGACCTCATCTCTACAATAAATCAAAACATTAACCGGGCGTGGTAGCGCGTTCCTGTAGTTCCAGCTACTTGGAAGGCTGAGGCAGAAGGATTGCCGGAGCCCAGCAGGTCGAGGCTGCGGTGGCCAGGAGAGTGCCACTGCATTCCAGTCTGGGTGACAGAGTGAGACTCCAACTCAAAAACAAAAAGCAAGTTTATTTCTCACAGTTCAGAAGCCTGGGAAGTCCTAAAAAGATGAGGCAAATCTGTGTGTGGTAGGAGCTCTAACTTGCCGTGTTCTCACATGGTAGAAGTGACTAGAGGTCGCTTCTTAGGCCTCTTTTATAAGGACACTAATATCATTCAAGAGGGGTCTGCCTCCAAGATCTAATCTTCTAAAGGCCTCACCTTCTGATACCACCACTTTGGAAGCTAGGATTTCAACATATGAATTGGGATGGGGGGACAGACATTCAGACCATAGCAGATGTATACTTTAAGTCATGGGAGTTATTTGCAAACATGTTCTTTGCATAGATGTGACATGTCACAGTGTGATCTGGCTGTTAATTAAGTTCTGTCTGGATCAATAGTAATCAGGAATGGATAGTGAAAAGTGGACAGGGAATCAGTATCAGATTTTATAGTATCAAATGTAGCTGTCTTTGTGACACCAGGAACAAACTCTTCTTATACAAAAAAAGTCACTGGTGACACACTCATATGGATATCTGTGTATGTGAGAGAGTAAAATGCTACTTGACATAGAAGAGCTTAATTACTTTAGTTTCAGTCTTTCACCCATCATCATTATTTAATCTAAGTGAAATTTGAATGGCAGATAGTTTTGACCCTAAGTCATTGTCCATTATTTGTTATTATGATGAAGTGTAGTTTCTTGAATTTATAATGTATGCTGCCCAGACATGACAAACTCTCATTTTGAACACCTAGATAAAGCATTAAGCTAAATTTTGAAGACAGTTTGCTCAGCTAGGTGCTGTGCAGTTTAAGATGTATCTTTTACCTTTAAGGAGTTTACAGTCTTTGGGTAGATATGTATTTACACAACCAAATATAATACAGGGCAGAACGTTGTACAAAGCAAGAACATTAAAAGGAATTATAATGCATGTAAATAGGGATGGGAGCTAGGGGCGTGCCTTGTAGAAGAAGTGGCCGAAGTAGAAGTAGAAATAAAAATATATAAATGGGAATGCACGTGGAAAGAGCTTGTAATGTTAGGAAATTTATTGGTCATCTAGGAGAAAAATTCTAAACAGCTCTTTTTATCTTTTAAAATTGACTTATACTATATATAAAGATTATATATGTATCATGTCAAAGCACAATAATATAAGCATGTAAATCTACCATCTGCCCCAAGAACTGGAAAATTTTAACATATTCCTTCTATATTTGCTTCTACCCTATTCTACCAAGATAACCGCTGTCTTAGCTTAGATTCCATAGAAGCAGAGCCACAAAATAAACCTTAACAAATGTAAAAGAATTGAAATCAACCAGAATATGTTCACTGACCATAATGGAATTAAACTAGTAATCAACAACAAAAAGACAACAGGAAAATCTCTAAACACTTGAAAATTAAACAACATATTTCTACATAATCCATGAGTCAAAGAGGATGCCTCAAAGGAAATTTTTTAAAATGTACATAGAACTAAATGAAAGCTACACTACAACATAACAAAATCTGTGAGTCAGGTGCAGTAGCTTACGCCTGTAATCTCAACACCTTGGGAGGCCAAGGTGGGAGGATCACTTGAGGCCAGGAGTTTGAGACCAGCCTGGGTAACATAGCAAGACCCCATCTCTACAATAAATAAAAAAAATTAGCTGGGTGTATTAGTGCACACCTGTAGTGTTGCAGCTGCTTGGAAGGCTGAGATGAGAAGATAGCTTGAGCCCCAGAGTTCAAGGTTACTGTGAGCTATGATCATAGATCCCAGAACAAGCTCTTGTCTCCAATAAAAAGAGAACAACAAAAAAAAAAAACCAAAAATATGTGGGCTGCAGTTAAAACAGTACTGAAAGGGAAATCTATAGCACTAAATGCTTACATTTAAAAAGATACGAATCTTCTTTCAGATCCCCTCCTACTAGTACCTTTTCTATATTCTTAATCCTATTTTTTTACTTAAAAAAAGATATAAGGTTTCAAATAAGTAATCTAAATTCTACCTCAAACTAAAAAAAAAAAAAAAGCAGACTGAACCTAAGACAAGCAGAAAGAAGGAAATAAATATTTATTTTGTTACATCACAAAAGTTTTTATACGTTGTATTTTTATTCTTATTCTGTTCTAAATATTTTTCCATAATTTTTTTCACTCATGAGCTATAAAGTGCTTACAAGTTTAGAATTCTTACCTCTTCCAGATGATTAGAAGTTCTGTTTTTCATTACACAGTGACCCTTTCTAGTCTATTTCTACTTTTTTTTTTTAAGCATTAAAGGCTATTTTGTCAGATGTTAATACAGTTATGCCAACTTTCTTTTGGATAGTACATGCCTATTATATCTTTTTTCATTCCTTATCTTTCTATGTTTTCCTATCCTTATTCTTCTATTGTGACTTTTGTAACTGGCATATAAGTGGACAGCCTTACAATCTTTATGTTCTAATTGATTAGTTTACTTCAGTTACATGTAGAGTTATTTTTGCTTGAACCTCTTTTTCTTTTCTTACTTTAAATTTCTATTCAGTTTTTAATGGTTTTTTCTATTTGTTTAAAAGTATAGATTTTGTTGGCTTTTTTCCTTCACTGTTTTCTCTTTTTACTTATTTGGGATTTAAACATTCTAACTATATTCTCCTAGTAGTTGTCCTTGAAATTTATCATGTATTTTTAACTTAAAAGTCTGAGGTTAAGCAGTATCCTAAACCACCTTTCTGATATTGCAGGACCTTAGAACATTTTAACTTCAGTTGCCCTTCTCCCAGCATTCTAGTTTTTTCTATTTTAAATTCTTTATTGTTTAAAAATAATTACTTAGCCAGGCACAGTGGCTCACGCCTGTAGTTCCAGCACTGTGGGAAAGGATTACCTAAGCCCACAGATTCAAGACCAGCCTGGACAACTTGGCAAGATCTCATCTCTACAGTAAATTCAAAAATTAGCTGGACGTGGTGGTACACGTCTGCAGTACCTAGTTACTTGGAAGGCTGAAGCAGAAAGATCATTTGAGCCCAGCAGGTCGAGGCTGCGGTGGCTGTGAGCATGCCACTGCACTCCAGCCTAGGCGACAGAGTGAGACTCTGACTCAAAAAAAAATAACTTATATTAGATTATTGATATGTTGTTCTTTTAAACAAGTAATATTTATATGGACTTTCAAAGATGTTTATCATTTCCTTCCATTTCTGAACATTCTGGACTTTTCTTTCTTCCTGAAATATTTCCTCTACTTCAAGCCTTTTGGTAGAGGATTATTTTAATTTTTATTCATCTATAAATGTATTTGTTTTATTCTCTGTCTTTCAAGATAGTTTATGCTGAATACAAAGTTTTTGACTGATAGTTATTTTTCCTCTGGCTTCAGTCATTAGTATTTAGAAGTCTACTGTCATTATAATTGTTTTTTCTTGGTAGGTGATCACTTCCTCCCCACCTCTATCTTTTCCTCCCAGATTTTTTTTAACTCGTGTTCTTGTCTGTGGTGTTCTGCATTTTAATTATGACGTGCCTAGGCATATATTTCTTTTTGTTTATCTTGCTTGTGATATCTTGTATTCCCTGAATATTTTGATTATCTCTTTCTGGGACTCTAGTTAGACGTAGCTAGGGGAGGGGCGGCAAAAAACCCAGAATTTATTTATTTAAAAAGTATATTTATTCTTACATGTTTAAACTTCAGTCACCTTGAAAGTACTCTCCGTTTGATGTAATATGTCTATCAAGACACTTTTTCCATTGCTCAGAACAGTTCTTGAACTCATCAGTTTTGATGCCTTTTAGTGTTTTTGCCATTTTTTGTTTCACTGTTTTCACACCAGCAAAACATTTCTCTTTGAGGACTTTTTTCATCTGGGGAAACAAAAAAGTCACTCAAGGCAAGGCAAACTATCTTGAAAGAGAATAAAACAAATACATTTATAGATGAATAAAAATTAAAAGAATCCTCTACCAAAAGACTTGAAGTAGAGGAAATATTTCAGGAAGAAAGAAAAGTCCAGAACATTCAGAAATGGAAGGAAATGATAAACATCTTTGAAAGTCCATATAAATATTACTTGAAAGGGTGGGACACGGGGGTCATGCTGTTTTTGGTCAAAAACTACTGAACATTCTGCGCAGTGTGGGCAAGTGCACTTGTGAATTGCTCATCATGAAATGGGCAAATGTGTTGAAACAATCTCCAAAAAAATTCACTGAAGCCAAACACAGCTCTTACAACAATGCTAGCTGGTACACTGATGCCAGTGGGTTCCTAGAACATTTATCTAGTAGAGGACACCTGTCTTCCAAGAGATCCGCCCTCCCAAAAATAATTCCAGTTCTTTGGGGGTTTCCCCCTCATATTTTGCCTTTTTATTCTATCCATTATCTTTTAATATCATTTTTTGTTATTTTCTTCTTATCTTGCTGTTCTTTGTTCTAGGTCATTTCTTTGGCAATGTCTTCCACTTTACTAGCTAAAAACTTTTTGACCTTTTTTTCTTTTGCTAATTTGCTGTTTAACTTATTGAGTTGATTAATCAGTTAATTCCAAACAATCCTTTGTTGATCTTTGTGATAATGACCTTTATTTATTTAAATATTTTGTGCATAGCTGTTCTATTTTTGTAGAACAATGTTAATATCTGAAGTCTCTGGGAATATTAAATATTTTTCTTAATTTTGATTATTATTATTACATAGTTATGGTAGCATGCCTTCTGGTGTCTTTTATCCTTTTTTCCCATTATTTTCTCATTCATTAATCATTGGTGGAAGTTCTGTAGATATAGAAGATTGGCTTCTGTTACCAGATTTTATCATCAATTTGAGACTAATGGGTATCTTCTTGAGACTCTCTGTCCCAGACTTCCCTCACTCACTGCACTCCTGATATTATAAAGCTTGATTTGCCTGATAATTGTGCTGCTGTAGGCATCTGTCTGTAGACAGTGCCACTCCATGGGCTTTATCATGCTCACCCTCCTAGCCTCTTTCTGCTGTGCCTCAGGACCTTTTTCTAGTCGTAGGCTTTTTGTTGTTGTTTGCTTGTTTTTGGAGTTAGAGTCTTGCTCTGTCACTCAGACTGGAATGCAGTGTGCAAATCACAGCTCACTTCAGCCTTAACCACCAAGGCACAGGCAATCCTCCCACCTCAGCCTCCCAAGTAGCCGAAACCACAAATGTGTACCTTTATGCCCACCTAATTTCTATTTTTATTTTTCAATTTTAAAGATGTGGGGTACAATTCAGGGTTAAGTATACAAATGTTCATTATGCAGGTAATCTTGTTGATGGCATACCCCCCGCCCCCACTACTGCCAATCCCAACACCCCTCCCTTGGCAGTTTCCCACTACTGCCAATCCTTTTCTTATAGTATGATAATTGTTCAAGGTCCGCTTATAAGTGAGAACATGTAGAACTCAGTTTTCTGTTTCTGTGATAGATCACTGAGTATGATAGACTCTAAATCCATCCAAGTTGCTATGAAGTCCATATGTTTGTCCTTCTTTATGGCTGCATAATATTCCATCATATATATGTACCACATTTTTATTTTATCCAGTCCAGTTTCGATGGGCAGCATGGTTGGTTCCATGTTTTGCTGTTGTGAATAGTGCTGCAATAAATATGCGTGTGTAGGTATCTTTTTTATAGAATGATTTGAGTTCCTCCAAGTATATTCTTAATAGTGGGATTGCTGAGTTATATGGAAGGTCAATTTCTCGTTCTTTCAGAAATCGCCACACTGTTTTCCAAAAAGGTTGCACTGGTTTGCATTTCCACAAGCAGTGTCGAAGCATTCCTTTTTATTTGCAACCTCGCCCGCATCTGTTGTTGTTTGTTTTATTAATTATGGTCATTCTTACTGGGATTAGGCGGTATCTCAATGACCCACCTAATTTTATTTTATTTATTATTTATTTATTTATTTATTTTTTGAGTTGGAGTTTCACTTTGTCGCCCAGGCTGGAGTGCAGTGGCACATTCACGGCCACTGCAGCCTCAACTTGCTGGGCTCAGGCGATCCTTCCACCTCAACCTTCCAAGTAGCTGGAACTACAGGTGCATGCCACCATACCCAGCTAATTTTTTGATTTATTGTAGGGATGAGGTCTCGCCAAGTTGCCCAGGCTGGTCTTGAACCCGTGGACTCAGGCAATCCTCTCACCTTGGCCTCCCAAAGTGCTGGGATTATAGGTGTGAGCCACCACACTCAGCAGGTTCACTTAATTTTTTTTTTTTTTAGAGTTGGAATCTCACTCCATCACCCAGGCTGAAGTGCAGTGGCACACACGCTCACAGCCACCCCAGGGTCCTCCTGAAAGGCTCAGGCTATCCTTCAGCCTCAGCCTTCCAAGTAGCCAGAACTACAGGCGCGTGCTACCACGCCCAGCTAATGTTTTTGATTTATTGTGGAGTTGAAGCCTTGCCAAGTTGCCCAGCCTGTTCTTGAACCCATGGGCTCAGGCTGTCCCCTCACCTTGACCCCCTGAAGTGCTGGGATTACAGGCTTGAGCCACTGCACCCGGCCAGGTTTACCTAATAAAAAAAAATGTGTAGAGATGATGGGTCTGGCTATGTTTTCCAGGCTGGTCTCAACTTCCTGGGCTCAAGCGATCTTCCTGCTTCGGTCTTCCAAAGTGCTAGGCTTACAGGCATGAGCCACTGAACCCAGCCCTGTTTTTTTGTTTGTTTTGTTTTTTGAGTTGGAGTCTCACTTTGTTGCCCAGGCTGGAGTGCAGTGGCACACTCACAACTACCACAGCCTCAACCTGCTGGGCTCAGGCAATCCTTCTGCCCCAGCCTTCCAAGTAGCTGCAACTACAGGCACATGCCACCACGCCCAGCTAATTTTTTGATTTATTGTAGAAATGAGGTCTCACCAAGTTGCCTGCTGGTCTCAAATGTCTGGACTCAGGCAATCCTTTTGTCTCTGCCTCCCGCAGTGCTGGGATTATATATGTGAGCCACCATGTCTGGCTACCAGCTCTGTGTTTTATACAGTGATAAGAATGTGGGGGGATTCAAGGTTGGTGACCTCTCCTAACTCTTCTGAGATCACTGTATCTCAAAGAGAACATACTTTCTAGGTTTTAGTTTTAGGTTAGTGGAATAGGATCCTGCAAGCATCTAGTCAGCCATAATACAAAAAGCTAAAGTTGTTAATCATTTTTAGACTGTTTATCTTTGTACCAAAAATATTAAAAACTAAAATAATACTGAAACTGAGTATAAATTAAGAAAATATATTTAATAAAGGGTTAAGCCAGTGTAATGAAGTAAACTAGCCCACATATCCTAATCTTCCAAAAACAAATTTGATCATTTGTTTATGTTATCTTGAAAGGTTCAGTGATTCTGCCCATGTGTATGACTTAGAATGTTTTTCATATTTTTATTTTATATTTTGTCTAGGCTGCTACTGAAGAGGAGAATAGCCATGGTCAGGCAAATGGTATTCTCAATGCTCCAAGCCTTGGTTCACCAATTCGAGTCCGTTCAGAGATTACTCAGCCAGACAGAGAAGTTCCATTGGTGCGAAAGTTACGTTCCATTCACAGCTTTGAGCTGGAAAAGCGTCTCACCCTGGAGCCAAAGCCAGATACTGACAAGTTTCTTGAGACCTGGTATAAAATAGTTTTTCTTTCTTTTTAAAGCTCTAAGGTACTATTATTGTTGTTGTTGTTGTTATATGTTATCATCACCACATATTTTTATTATATATTATTAATGTTATTACATATTATTATTACATATTAGTACATATTACTTATGTTACATAAAGTCTTTCAACCAAGAAATTCTTGCATTTTTGTAACATTGATTCCATTAAACTCTCGTTTTCATCTGTTTTTGTTATTATCCTGATTCTTACTGTGAATTGTCTTCTAATATTATTATAAATTCTACAGCATAGACTTTGACTTTGGGATCTGAGCAGTGGGAGTTGGTAACTTCCTAACACTAGGTTCTAGTCTCCTACCCTCTTTCTGCTGTGCCCCAGCACCTTTTTCTAGCCCTAGGCTTTTTGTTGTTGTTGTTTGCTTGTTTTTGGAGTTAGAGTCTTGCTCTGTCACCCAGGCTGAAGTGCGGTGGCACAGATTGTGGCTCACCTTAGCCTTAACCACCGAGGCTCAGGCAGTCCTCCCATCTCGTCCTCCCAAGTAGCTGGGACCACAGGTGTGTGCCTTTATGCCCACCTAATTTTTAAAAAAATTTTTTTAGAGATGGCTCTGGCTATGTTTTCCCAGCTGGTCTCAAATTCCTGGGTTCAAATGATCCTCCTGCCTCAGTTTCCCAAAGTGCTAGGATTACAGGCATGAGCCACTGCACCTAGCCCTGTTTTTTTGTTTTTTGAGTTAGAGTCTCTCCGTTGCCCAGACTATAGTACAGTGGCATACTCACAGCTACCACAACCTCATCCTGCAGTAAATGAACACTTTTACAGTGAATTGTTTGGAAGGTAATCTCTTCCAAACAACAGTGTCGAGTTGGAGAGGACATGATAAAAGATATCATGAGGCAGAGATGAGGGAAATACATGAAGGAGGGAAAAAAGTAATATACACATGGGATAAGCAGTTCAATTAAATTTAACAAAGGCCTTCTATGGATAAGGTGTTATAGGAAAATAGATTCAATGAGTGTATCATTCATGCCCTCCAGAGCTCATAATCTCCCTAGCAAGAAGGAAAGGTGATACTTTAGAGAAATGTACATAGATAGAGACTGTCTGTTCATGGTTATGAAGCACATTATCCCTATAACAAATTTTGATTACAGAAGACAAAAATGAAACTTTAAAAATAGTTTGGGGTATATTTATTAATTATAGAAGGCTTCAATAGTATTGAGACCTAACAGCATTGACTAGTAGTCACATCTTTCAATGGTCCATCTCTAGTGGTTACAGTTGGCAATGAAATATTAGGTTAGGGCCAGGCTCGGTGGCTTAGCCTGTAATCCCGCGCTTTGGGAGGCCGAGGTGAGTGAATTGCCTGAACCCGCAGGTTCGAGACCTGCCTGGGCAACTTGGCGAGAC